GAAAACGTCATCTTTCATTCTTGGATAGGAGGAGGGATAAAATTTTTGTTTAACAGGTAGATTAGTACAAATTCCAAAGGAGAAATAATTAAAAATCACTTTCAATCAAGTGCAGGAATTTTAAGTAGGTAGTTTGAGGGGAATGTACTCTCAATATTTGAGAAGATACTTAGAAATTTTTGTTTCTGTTGCATGGATATGAGTCTGGTTAGTAATGGGTTAGAACTCACTCAATAAAATAAGTACCATTAGTTCATACTGATCTAAATAAATAAAAGAATAAACAAATACATGAGGGATAAGGCACAACCTTTCCTTATAATAGAATTCTAATTTACAAATGCAGAATGAGTGATAGAAATAAAAAATCATTATTAAGCAAATGCCAGTGCCACAATAATAAGTATTATAGGCAATAATTTTTTTTTTTAAGTCACAGAATTTGTTAAAATATTGCTTCTGTTTTATGTTCTGGGTTTTTGGCTGTGAGGCATGTGGAATTAGCTTCCCAACCAGGGATTGAAGCTGCACCCCCCACATTGGAAGGGCCAAGTCCTAACCACCGGACCACAAGGCAAGTCCCTAGGCAAGAATTATTGATAAATACAGAAATTAGTAGGAAAACCTATGATGAGAAATGGGATATTTGTAGACTCAAAATATCTCCCTGCAAAATACTTGCTGGTTACAAAAGGTATAGAAATCTGACAGATACCACCTTGCTGTGCCATGCTAAGTCGTGTTCAACTCTCTGTGACTCTATGGACTGTAGCCCGCCAGGCTCCTCTGTCCCTGGAATTCTTCAGGCAAGAATCCTGGAGTGGGTTACCATTTCCTACTCCAGGTATCCCAACCAGGGAATGAACCTGGGTCTCCTGCATTACAGGCGGTTTCTTTGCAGTCTGAGCCACCTTCACCAAATTAAAAAGTTAATATTGACAGTAACAAGACAGGTTGTCCTCATGTGTCTCCTGATGGCCCAACATCACTTCTGTGATATTCTTGCTAAAAATGCACAACCTCAGCGTAATCATGAGAGAGAATCAGATAAACCCATGCTGGGGAATATTGTACAAAATAAGTGGCCTGAACCCTTCAAACATGTCAAGGTCATGAAAGTCAGAAAGATACCAAGAAACCGCCATAGATTGGAGAAGGTTAAGAAGACACGGCAACTAAATGCTAGGTGGTGTCCTGAATTGGATCTTGGACTGAAAAAACAAAAGACATTACTGGGACAGTTTGTGAAGTTTTAATATGGCCCTCAGATTATTTTATATCAGTGTAAATTTCATTATTTTAATAACTATCTGTGGTTATGTAACTAAGGTGCTCCTGTTAGGAGAAATTGAGGGAAATGACATTTAGGAACTCTATACAAGTTTTTGCAACTTTTTGTAAGTCTAAAGTTATTTCAAAATAAAAAGGTTAAAAAGAAATGTCCTGTTATGTCTTTGAATGATTTGGAATTGCTTTGTTCACAGGAAGAGGATAATTGAATACACAACACACCTCATTATAATCTGTTCCATTATTCTCTAGGATTTCCGTTTTGCAATCAATTTTAGTGTCCCTGTGATTTCTTTCTTTTTTTAAGCAGTAGTCCCTTAACCTGTAGCCTGATTGAACCTTCAGTAATCATCCTAAACATTTATTTCAATTTTACAATTGTAAAAGACCTTGACCAGTGGTGACTTAGCTTCAGATCGCAGTGGAACTGGGAATTTAATACTCTGAGTCATCTTCTGTTTTTTTTAAACTAAAGTTTATACATTCAAAGTTCAGTAAGTCAGAAAGAGAAAAGCAAATACTGTATATTAATGCATATATGTGGAGTCTAGAAAAGTGATATAGATGGTCTTGTTTACAAGGCGGAAATAGAGACAGATATAGAGAACAAACATATGGGTACCGTGGGGGAACAGGAGGTGAGATGAACTGGGAGAGAGACTGACATAAATTCTCTGTTGATATTATGCATAAAATAGATAACTAATGGAAACCTACTGTATAGCACAGTGAACTCTCCTCACTTCTCCATGGTGATCTAAATGGGAAGGAGATCCAAAAAGGGATATATGTAAATGTATAGCTGATTCACTTTGCTGGACAGCAGAAGCTAACACAACATTGTAAAGCAAATATACTCTGATAAAAACTAACTTAAGAAAGAAAAACAGAAAATGTCAAAGTATATAAACACATTTCAGAAAATTAGCTCTCATCTGTGAAATCTTACAGACCATAAGATCAAGGAATAGATCTTTTTTAAAACCTATGTGTACATATTACCTCCTGAGTAATTTAAGTTCCTTGAAGGCAGCTTCTGTGTCTCCTTTTGTATCCCAAGCTCCCAGCCAACACTTTACCCATAATAGACTCTCAATGAGTATATGGAGCAGATAGAACTCCAGGAGGGAGGCGCTGGAGAGGAGAGTGGTGTGTTCTGTGTTAATTTGATTCCAAAAGGATAAAACAGAGTGAGAAGTGATGGAACTAACTCTTTGTGATCACAAATTTCAACAGAAAAATTGATTTACTGTGTTAAGGCCTAATTCCATACAAACTTTTGATCTAGAAAATAATAAAACAGATAAAAAGTAGAGGAAGAGACAAAAAAAGCTAGACACCTCTGACTTCCCTCTTAGCAGTAATGTGTGCTCAGATGAAATTTATCTTTCTAATATAAAATTAAATTTCCATCGCTACCATTGTTGACTTTTTTACTGCATTAATTTCTGTCATTTTTCTCATTAGAATTTCATCTCTCTCTGAAACATTATCTCATCTCTTGTTTGCTTTGTCTCCCATCAACTCTGTTGGGCTTAGCTGTTGTATAAATTGCTTGTTATTGATCAGAATTTTTAGGGGTTGACTTTCAGGGGTTTGAAGGTCTTCATCAGTTCAGAATCTGTTTTAGGTGGTGGCGGGGCTTCCCTGGTGGCTTGGTTGGTAAAGAATAGCCTGCAATGTGGGAGACCTGAGTTTGATCCCTGGGCTGGGAGGATCTCCTGGAGAAGGGAACCCTACCCACTCCAGCATTCTGGCCTGGAGAATTCCAAGGACTGTATAATCCATGGCGTCACAAAGAGTCGGACACGATTGAGCGACTTTCACTTTCACAGGCGGAGTACAAGACTGTCATATACAATCAAAGACCTTAAGTGGGTTCTGGAGGTGGGTGGTTGTTAAAAATAGGTTTCTAAAATATCACTGAGGTCTCTTGGGTCCAGATGACATCATCCCCCAAGTACCCTTGGCCCCCACATTAATGTACAATTAGATTATTTGTCCTCTACCTGCAGTGAATTAGTGACTAAGTCAAGAATTTTACTGATTTCTTAATGTCTCTCTGCACAAGCCTGTACCTTCTGTTTCCAAAACTGCATTTTATTTGAGACTCCTTTGTCTTTCAGGGAAGACATCCAGATGGTATTATAACAGATGAAACAATACTGACTTTCAGTATGATAAAAGCTTAACTGTATTTTTAAAAAATTAGGGTAAAACCAATATCACATAAAATTAACCATAATCAAGCTAATGAGCTTTTATTTACAGTGACAGATTGAAAATGCAATGTCGTCCCCCTCCCCACTGGAGAAAAATGTTATAATTAAGTTTATGTTTTACCCGATTTTAGTTGGTACATAGAAGGCTGAACTTGCCTATTTTGTTGTTCTTCATACTTTTTAGCTAACTTAGCTTGATTCCTTTACAGAATAAACAGATTTTTTTTGTGAGGAGGAGAATTAGATTTTCATTACCTTTTAAAATGTATTATGGTTGTTAAATACCATGTTAGATACCTTATTTTTAAACTCAGGTTTTCTCAAAGCAAACTGCCATTAGTTGCAAGAGCTTTTATCTAGGTAGATTTTATAGCAAGTATGTCATGTTTTACAGTTTCAATTTCCAAGGCTAAGGCTATGTGCTTTATCAACTTGATGAATGTCTGAAAACCTAAAGTTCTTTGATTTTTCTCAGTTGTAAGTCTTTTAAGCAATGTCAATATATTTATATGTTGACGTCAGTGGAATTATTTTTAGAATGCCAGTTTAAGAGCAGTTTGCTTTTCTTGCATCTGCCTTTGAAATGCAATTTAAATGATTAATCTGAAATATCATTTAGTTAGATATGAATCACTGTTGTTTATTAGTGCCATCTGAAATGGAAATGGGCGCTTAGCCACAAGAAATATCTTTAGGCACGTCTTCTCTGCCAGGGCATGGATGACAATGAATGATCACTGGAGGCCCGTGAAGTGATGTTTGTCAAAAGAAATGGTGTTTCTATTGCTTAGAAAGTACTGTTCCCTAGCTGATGAATGAAGTTATGTTATTCCTGAGGTAGTATCTGCCTGATCTTACTTTTTGAAAGTTTTAAAGCTAGAACTATAATCTTATTTTCTTTTTTGATAGAAACCCCAGCTACTTCCTGCACTGGAATCATCAGGCTTTATTTAAGGAATGGTGCTCAGTAGGTTAAGATGAAAATCTTTTAAAAATGTCTTAAGTGAAGAGAAAAAAGGAGCATTGTTTCTGTATGTGCACAGATAATTTGCAAAGTCCGAATATTTGGTCTTGTTTGTTGTTGTTTAGTCCCTAAGTTGTGTCCGACTCTTTTGCCACTCCATGGACTGTAGCCCACCAGGCTCCTTGGTCCCTGGGAATTCTCAGGCAAGAATACTGGAGTGGGTTGCCAATTCCCACTAGTCTAGATTCTGATAAAAGAATGGAAGATGGTCACTGAGTTCTGTCACTGATGCCTTGAGCAGGGAACCCTAACCATGGCTGAGGATTGGGGATGATTTGGGAACTGCTGCTTCTGTTAACTGCATGAACAGTATAAGGAAAAAGAAACTTGCGGACAGCTGGTATAGAGAAGATATTGTAAACCAGATAAGAAAAAGGAATCGTAAAAAGACTGATAACTTGGGGCTCTGTGATGAAAGTAAGGAAAGAAGTGAAATCTCATCTTTTGAATATCTCTGGTTTCAGATTGCCTGTTTGGTACCTGTGGATCAGTTTCAGCTTTATCAGCGGTTAAAATTTGAGCGAGGTATGTACATGCTCCTCTTTTCATCCTGACGGTGGATGTGGTTTACATGTGTCCTCTTTACACTAACCTGTGTGTAAGATTAAGGCAGCTGTGAGCTGTCAGCAAAGCCGCAAGGGTACTCAGAAAAAGGCAAACTGAATTGCAACATAAAATTTTAACTTTCTCAACCACAGCCAGAAAAAAATGCAGACTAGCAGGAAATGGAACTTGCCTTATGTTGGTTGTTGTGTATTTTTAATTGGGCTTATGTGAGAGGAGTTCTGCAAAAGTTAAATAGTTTCATGATAACAGTATGACAAGTAGAAGTGGAGTGGAAGTTGCTCAGTCGTGTCCGACTCTTTGCACCCCCATGGTCTTTACAGCCCGTGGAATTCTCCAGGCCAGAACACTGGAGTGGGTAGCCTTTTCCTTCTCCAGAGGATCTTCCCAACTCAGGGACTGAACCCAGGTCTCCTGCATTGCAGGCGAATTCTTTACCAACTGAGCCACAAGGGAAGCCCATGACAAATAGAAAGTGGCCCTCAAAATGAGTATTACCACCACTTTCCCTGCTTTCGAAGATCACTTCAGAAACATTAATCCACCCAGACATTTTCACTGCTCATTGTGATATTCACTGTCCTTCTGATTGTACTTGGAATCATAGCCAGTGACTGAGTAGATCATTCTAATGCTATTTGCAATTGCGTGCTAAGTGGCTTCAGTCGTGTCGGACTCTTGGCGACCCTATAGACCATAGCTGCCAGGCTACTCGGTCTATGGCGATTCTCCAGGCAAGGATACTGCAGTGGGTTGCCATCCCCTCCTCCAGGGGATCTTCCCAACCGGGGATTTAACCCATGTCTCTTACTGTCCTTGCACTGGCAGGCAGGTTCTTTACCACCAGCGCCACCTGAGGAGCCCTGCTATTTACAATGTATTGGACTAATTTTCTGATCTTAGACTTGGGGTAATTTATGTAGCTCTTCTATTTGTGTTGCTTTTTTGTTTGTTTTTTTTTTGGTGTGTTTTTCCATATCTGAGAAGTGGGAGAAGACTGTTTGCCCTGGGACTCACAAGACTTGTGTAAATCTCATCAGGTATATAACATAAACTCTATCATGAACATCCAGTTTTCCTGATTGCTAGCTTTTGAATCTGAATTAATAAAGTCCAGAGGTAAGAGAGTAAGGAAAGAAGTGAACTTTTTTTTTTTAATGTGCCAGTAAATTTGGTAAACACAATTTATCTCGTTTAATTTTTGCAATTACCCTGACAGATAATTGTTATATGAAAACAGAAAGAGAACCATGTGGAGCATAAAGGGGGAGTATTTGCAGGAGAATCACAGGATGGCATTCACTGCCTTTGACCAATGTGGTTCTGTCTCATAGGCTTATTTTTTTTTCAGCAAGCCAAAAGCAGATTCATCTTTCATGGATAGATCATTTAACTAAATGTATAAGACTGGTATATTAAGGTGAAATTGATTAAAAAATTCTTGGACTACATTGCTTTGAATTGCACTTTTGCCCTCTTCCATGTGCTTATGCACTGTCATGTCTGACTCTCTGTGACCCTATGGACTGTAGCCCACTAGGCTCCTCTGTCCATGGGATTTCCCAGGCAAGAATACTGGAGTGGGTTGCCCCATTTTCTCCTCCACGGGATCTTCCTAACCCAGGGATCGAACCTGCGTCTTCTGCATTGACAGGTTGATTCTTTACCACTGAGCCAGTAAAGAACATAATTTATGAGGCAACAGAGTCGGGAGTGTTTTGAGTTCAAGTAAGACTAGTCCATCATAAAAACTTACATACTAAAGTGAAATGTTGTCCCCTGTTTCCCAGAGGCAATAACAAGGGACAGTTTTATAGGATATTTGCTAATCTAATTGATATAAAAAAAACTTTGCAGTCTCAAAACAACTTAAAGGAAGACGCAAATAGGATGTTGTGGAACATGCTGTCAGAACCAGCAGAATCAGACAAACTTTAGGTTTAATGGATGAAGACATAGGGCTGATACACTTGTCTATACTCTCCTGTGTGGATTCTGAGCTAACCAGAGGAATTAATGATGGCGTAGTTTATATATTGGCCCTCCCTAATCCATCCACGTGGGCTGGTTAGGTTGAGCATCACATGCTGATGAATGGTGTCATCACATGCTGATGTAGCATTGTAGCCGTGATGCTACATTGTAGCATTGTAGCTAATGTAGCTGTGATGCATTGTAGCATCACATGCTGATGAATGGTGTCAAGCATCTGCCCTGACATTCTCTCACTTTATCCCAATATCCTCCACTATATAAATACATTACTGCTGGAATAAAGGTATTCATCCTGTGGATGGATGTGGCTGGTAACCAGTGCCATGATTGGAGGGCTCTTACCTAGAGAAAGTCTAAGGAGGTAGGTTGGATTTTCAGACTTCTTGAATGGTGAGACCTGTCAATCTCACCAGTCCCATTCGGTAACCAGGGCTCAGGCTGTCTGTAGGGTTCCCTTGTTCCCGATGCCCCTCTCCTCCTCCATGACCATCACCCCCCGCCCCCGCCCCATCTGTCAATTGCAGGCCTTATTCCTCATTGTTTACAAACATTTTATTAGATAAAATGTCTTTTTTGTGATTCATTAGACAAATTCTAATAGTACCAGGCATTAAAGCTTTCTGTAAGTTGGTTCTCATGGATGAATATAAATTTTTAGTGCATCCTAAAAATAATGGGAATGCTGGCTCTACCCCTTACTATACTGTGTAACCTAATTTCTGTACCTCAGTTTTTTTCATCTGTAAAATGGGGATATTAATAGTACCTATACCATGGGTTTGAGATGAGCATTAACTGAATTGAGAAAGTTGGAGAGATTGAGACTTGCCTAGGACCATACAGGTGTGTCTCAGCTTCCTCATCTATAAAATTTTTTGACTTGGATAATTTCTTAAAAATTTTATTTTTTGGCTGTGTGGCATGTGGGCTCTTAATTCCTGGACCAGGGATCAAACCCATGCCCCCTGCATTGGAAGTATGGAACCTGAACCACTGGACTACTGGAGAAGTCCATATACTTTTTACTGGAGTTAAAACCATCATTAAATTTACCATCTCACCCATTTTAGGTGTGAAATTCAGTGTCATTAAGAATATTTACAATGTTGTACAGCTATCACCACTATCTACTTGCAAGACTTTGATCATCCCAGGCAGAAACGCTGTAACAACTGAACAGTAACTTCCTTCCCCACTTCTCCCAGCCCCTGATAATGTCTAATCTACTTTCTTTTCTGTGAATTTGCCCTTTCTAGATATTTTATGTAAGTGGAATCACACGATATTTTCTTTTGTGTCTGGCTTATCTCCATCCACGTTGTAGCATGTATCAGAACTTCATATCTTTCTATGGCTGAATAATATTCCATTGTGTATACATACATACCACTTTTTGTGTATCTCTTCATCTGTTGATGGACACTTGGGTTGTTTCTCCTTTTTGTCTATTGTGAACCATGTTGCGTGAACATTGGAGCACAAATACCTGTTCAAGGCTCTGCTTTCCATTCTTGTGGGTATACAGCTAGCAGTGGAATTGCCAAGTCATAGGGCAAGTCAGGAACTGCCAAACTATAAAACTCTGTAATTTAATTAGACATTTATACTATTTTAAGGGTTTCCCTTGTGGCTTAGCTGGTAAAGAATCTACCTGCAATGTGGGAGACCTGGGTTTAATCCCTGGGTTGGGAAGATCCCCTGGAGAAGGGTAAGGCTACCCAGTCCAGTATTCTGGCCTGGACAGTCCATGGGGTTGCAAAGAGTCAGATACAACTGGGCGACTTTCATTTTACTATTTTAAAGTATGGAAGTATTTTAAATTTGGAAGTATGTTAAATCTGGTGCCATTGTTTCAGCTCCCTCATTTGATAAAAAAGGAGACTGAGACCAGGGAGCATTTTGATCTTAGGTGATTTTGGAAGGCAATTTGTAATCATGTAATTCTTCCTTAGCATCCATTATAAATAATTATTTTTAGAGAAAACATTCCACGTAAGAATAAGTTTGTTAATACATGCTACTAACATATAATGTCCTTTACTTGACTGGGATAATCTTTATCTGAATGGTATACCTCTTTTTTACATAATAAGCTTCATATTCACCTCAAACTCAACACTTATCAGCTAGGTGACTTTGAGGTCTATGTCAAGAAAATATTTTATGTGGAACTGTTTAAGAGGGGATCTTGAAATGTATTAAATTCTAATATTATGAATACGTTAAATTAACTAATGGAAAGTAAAACTCATTGGCTGGACTCTGAGACAGAATTGGAGAGATTGTTTGTACTCTGAAAAAAATGTAGAATCAGATTAGTGGCATCTCTGTATCTTAGTAAGAAAAACCATCATCTGTTTTGTCCAATTCTTACTGACTGCCAATGTGAAGAACTGACTCATTGGAAAAGACCCTGATGCTGGAGAAGATTGAAGGCAGGAGAAGGGGACGACAGAGGATGAGATGGTTGGATGGCATCCCTGACTGGATGGACATGAGTTTGAGCAAGTTCTGGGAGTTGGTGATGGACAGGGAAGCCTGACGCGCTGCATTCCATGGGATTTCAAAAAGTTGGACATGACTGAGCAACTGAACTAACTGACCAAGTTCTTTTTTTAGTTTTAATTTGTCATCCAGTGTTTTAATTTTCTTTTACCTTATGTTACACATCTGATTAGCTTCTCTTTTGTGTCTTTGTTTTCATGTGCGTCTTTGAGGGGAAAATCTTTTGAATAGGAACGGTCCCTCGTCATCACTGTTTCCACAAAGCAGAGAAATGTCACTTGGCATTGATGAATTATTCTGTGGGTCCACTTTCCATCCATCTGTGATTTTTCCATTGGCTACTTCTATGTTTGTGGGTTTTCTTTTCTGTGTCTGTCTTCCAATATTAACAAAGGAAAGGGAATACTAAGCTTGGCATGTGTTAGTGATTATTGCTTTACTTTCTACTGGTTCTCAAAGCA